GGATAGGATAGGATAGGATAGGATAGGATAGGATAGGATAGGATAGGATGTTCTTTAAAAGCTCAGAGGTTATTTGTTCCTTTTAGGAGGATTCATTAAAGACTAAACAGATTATTGGTGAACATTGCAGCTCTTTAAAAGATTTCTTTTTTTTTCCCTCTACATTTTACTTTCAGCTTCAAAAAACTAGGGCTCTGCCTGAGGCTTTTGCCTTTGATTTTTGCCAAGGAATCCTACGTAAGTTCTGGGATATTTCCCCATGTTTTGGAAAAAGGAGACAAGAGGAGACCACTGGGGATCGGGTTCCAAAGGACAGCTAAGGTGGGTTTGAGCAACTCTTGCCACTTTTTGAGCCTCTGTTTCTGTAATTATGAATGTGGCAGAATATTACTGATCTCTTGTAAAGCCTTTACATCTTCTGTGGAATAAATTCCCTAGGTTATTATTGCCATTAAATTAAGTGGCTGGGACTTTTTTTGCTCCCATATGATTTTCACGTGTAGGCACAGTCTCAGTGAATAAATAACACACTGTTGGAAGCAGCCTGACTGTGACACTTCCTGGCCAGCCTTGTCCTTGTGGAAGGCTCAACTGTCCTGCTTGCTGTCCCCTCTTCTCCTTCCCAGCAGCACTTCAGGACACATTACTGCCTGTGCTTGAGGGCCTTTATAAAATAAACAAAAAAATCCCCACAAACCCAAAAAGCACAAACCCCAAAATCTGATTTTTTGGGGTGAATACCTCTTTTCCCCCCAGCACAGGTCGATGTTCACCCCTAGCTCAAGCCTGCACCCTCTAGCTCAGTGTGCACCCCTAGTTAGCCTAACGTGCTCAGCCTGGTGGGGACAAGGGCAGAGGCAGTTTCCTGGCTGGATTGAGCAGGGCTTAGCAGCTCAGAAGTGGCTCTGAGAGCTGCACTGCCCAAACCCAGGCCCTGCTGCTGGCACAGCACTGGCACAGGAGAAGCTGTGGGTGCAGTGTCCCTGGGAATGCCTCCCCTCTGCCTGCTCCATGCCTGAGCTGCCAGCTCCAGTTCCACTGCATGGGATCCGTGTTTTTCATCCTTTTTATCCACATGCAAATCCTCGGAAGCAACTGGTGCTGGCACAGCCAGAGGTTGTCTCCAGCAGCCTTATACATACTGGATCTAGTGAGCAGCCCAGTCCAAGCTGGGCTCAAGGCATTTCCAGGACCTGTGAGCTCCTGTGCAAGAGCACCAGAGCCATCCTGAAATCTGCCAAGCCCAGCTCTGTTCCCCTGCTCTGGAACTGAGCAGGAGCAGCCCTCCCTGTGCTGCCAGTGAGGGGTTTGGGTATGCTCTGTTAGAAGGCTGCTGGACATCCCTGAGCTTCACCAGATCCAGCCTCAGAGACTCTCACAGCCCAGGAGACCACAGCCAACACAACCTGAAATTTCTGGTGTAAAATTCACCCTTCTGGTGCTGGCTGCAAATCCCAGTGGAGCCCAAGGCTCCTTTCCATGTGCAGGCGGCTCAGGAAAATGGTGACACACAGTTGGTCTCTGTTGATCTGCCAGCTCCTGAAATTACCCAGATCACGAGCACTCGTGGGTGCTCCCCAAAGGAGCTCACCCAGGTGAGCCAATGTGGGGCTGCAGGGGCAAGCAGGGTGATGGAAGTTCCTTGGATGGAAGTTTCCTGGGGGAAACAGAACTAATGCCAGAAATGTTCCCAACTAGTTTGCAGGAGCAGCAAGGAGGCTGCTCGTCTCCTCTCTGGATCTCTCCATAGCTGGGAAACAACCCCTCTGCTGGAACTCAGCTCCCTTCCACTTCCAGCTGCTGGCCCTGGGGAGCAGCTCTTCCACAGGCCAGCCAGGTTCCTGGCAGCAAGAGACAGTCCTTCACAAAACCCTCTGCTGCGCCAGAGGGCTTCAGGAACTCATTAAAAAGAGGGAAAGTCTCAATAATCCCGGAGAAAGCAAATGGGTATTACCTGCAGACAGGGCTCCTGGGATCCGGCAGCAGGACTGGCGGGCACTGCCACACTCTCCCTCTGGGAAGCAGCTTGCACTGCTCTCGTTGTTTTTATTTTGGCAATGCAGTTTGAAGGTCGAAGAAAATGTCCAGAGGAGTGGCCTGTGGCAGGCAGTAAATTATTACCCTGGACTGCTCTCCAAAGGGACCAAGGCACAGGGAGCTGGAGTGGAAGAGGAAAATCCCTCCTTGGGGGGATTAGAGGGCAGCTCGCTGGCAGGGAAGTGCAAAGGGTCAGAACAAAGTGCTCTGTTTGCCGGAGGCTGTGCCCGGTCACATGCCAGGTCCCAGCAGAGGTAATGAGGCATGGGTCACCTCCCAAACTCCAGCGAGACCTCCTGGCTGTGGACATGACCTGTTGCCAATCCCCCAGCAACACATAGACCTTGCCAGACAGGAAGGAGCAGAGTTAGAGGGAGCCTTGCCCTCTGGCAGCACTAAAGGGCAAGAAATCCAGGGACTTTTACATGCCTGACCCGTGCAGGTGTGACAGTCCTACAACCTCCCTTCTGCCTCCTGTGTGTCCCCTGCTCTGTGGATCCTGGGCCACTCACACTGAGGAAGAGGCACATAAGGATCCAAGGAGGACCCAGACCCTCGGGCACGTCAGAACTGATCCTAGAGGAGCACTCTTAGAGCCAAAATCTATTGCCCTCCATGCCCTCCCCAATTAGCTCCATTCCTCTCCCTTCCCCTCTGCAGGAGCCCAGCACCAGTAGTCACACATCCCTGTGTGGGGGCCCAAGCAAGAATTTGACAGATGAGTGTCTTGGTGGAGTCACTGGTGGAACCTCCAGCTCCTCATCTGAAACACAAACTCCAAAGATGTACAAAATTATTTGGTGGAGAACATTGGATCCGCCGTCAAAATAAGCATTTTCTGAAATAGCCTGGAATATGTGATGTGGAGTGTCTAAACTTCATGAGGCCAAGATATCCAGCTGCCACCACAGGCAAGGTCTCTGGCTCCATGTGTGAGGAGGAGGCAGAGCCATTCCTGCCCTCTGCACACAGGGAGGAGTGGGCTCAGCCCTCACCTCGCTCCAGCTCTCACCGATGGTCCTATTGGGGTGGCACAACTGTGTGGATTCATGAGGGCAACAGAGATTTGGTATTACCCTCATGTCGCAGGAAATGAGCCTAAACAAAGGTCCTTATTGTGTCTGAGGAACTGCAAAAACACAGAGACAAATAAATCTGTTCCCTGGTAGTGCAGAGAGGGCCTTTGTTTTGTCTGGTTTTCAGAGTGAGAAGGTTTAGAAGATTGTTGCAGCAATGAGCAGAAGCCACGAAGCACAGACAAAAGCCATTTGGAACACAGCTCAGACCTTGCCATCACGCCGGCTTTTCAGAACATTTCTGCTTTGTTCAAGTTAAACCTGCTGCTGCTATTTCGGGGGTTATTTCCCTCTCTCCACTGTATCCCTAGCTGTCAGGACTGTACATGTCCCGTAGCACTGGCTGCACGAAGGCTTTCACCAGCACAGCATCAACATGTCTGCTGTGACGGGCTGGAGAGGCTGCCCGCGTTCCGAGCCCAGGGCACAAGTGTTGCACCGACAGTCACGGACAAGTTTAGAGGACAAAGCCTTGCTTATCGCTCGGCTTGCAGAGCCGGCTCGTTTCGCAAGCTGGTCGCACGTCAGCCTGCAGCGAGCGCCGGCTCCCGGCAGGAGCGCGGAGGGGAGCGCCTGAGCAGAGCTGACAGCGAGACAAAGCCCGTGGGGGCTGGCGGGGAAATCGCTGGCTCCGCCACAGCTGAAAACTGCAGCGAGGCACACGCTGAGGTCCCTGTCATCCCCGGGAGCCGCTCCGCCTGCTGCTGCCAGCACGAATGCAGCTCCCCCAGCCGGGGCTCTCTCCCTGCCAGGAGGAGCTTGGGGAGCTCAGGAATTTGAGGTGTCCTTGCAGGGGCTGAGAGCACTCTCCGGTTAAGCGTCCCTATTCTTCACCCTGAGGGATAGAAGCGAGGATCCCTGACCTTTCCCTCACTGTCACAAAAAAGGCACAAATCTTACAGCCCCAAGTACAGCAAGGAACACTTCTGCTCGCAAAGGGAAGGGGAAAAAAGTGCTGAATTAAGTTTAAAACATCTGCAAAATTAAGACTTCATAAAACGGTTTCCATCATCAGGTACACTGAATCGGAGAACTTTTGGTCCCTATAAAGCACGAATACATGTTAGTCTGTGAGCATCCTCCGTCCAAACTCAAGCAGCTGCCCACAGGAGAGGAGAGCCAGCTGCCGTGCTGCTGCGGCACGGCACGGCACGGCACGGCACGGCACGGCACGGCACGGCACGGCACGGCACGGCACGGCACGGCACGGCACGGGTCTCTTTGCTTCTCCGGTGGGGAACACAGAGACAGAAACACTCTGAAAACACCGTGTGCCAAGCCGATGCAAACCAGAGATGTGCAGAGCAGTGTATTAACCTGCCAGGCAACCTCAGCTCTCCACTAATTCCCAGGATCCGAGGGGTTATCTCAGCCCTGCTCAGGGCAGGGAATCGGGCTGGATCTCCTCCCACGCTGGCCCCTTATCATCACCCTGGGGAGAAAGCAGATCTGGAAAAATGTTCAGGGCAGAAGTAAGAGTAGAGAGCAACCCTGAAGAGAAGCCCCCTGTCCAGGCTGGCTCCCCTCATCGTGGGCGGGTGGATCCGGTGGCTCCGGACCGGGCACATCCCGTATCCTGGCGATGGATGGATGGATAATGGATGGATGGATGGATGGATGGATGGATGGATGGATGGATGGATGGATGGATGGATGCGGTGGTTCCTGGCCGGGTGCGCCGTCGGGCGAGGGCGCTAGGCCTCCGTGGCTGCTCCGGGCCGGGCTGCGGGCGGGGAGCGCACGGGGCAGGGGGTGGATCGGGCTTTCGGTTCCTGCGGCAGAGAGGGAATCACGGGTCACCTGCATCGGGGTGGGAGCAGGGATGATGAAGATGAAAGTGGTGAGGATGAATGTAGGGGTGAGCGTGAAGATGATGGGGATGAGCTTGAGAATGGGGTAGAACGCTGCTGGATATTCCCAGGCAAGGGAGCCGGCATGGAGGGAAATGTGCCCAATCCAGGGGCCCTGCGACGATGCCCACCCCAGGCACCACACCACCCTGTCCCCATAGAGCATAGACTCCACAACTCCCCTGTTCTTTTCTTTCGGAGGCTGTCCAGAAAATCGCCCGAAATGGTTTTTCCCCGGGCAGGGACAGCAGTTTTCCCCTGCTCCCGCCCGCAGCCCCTTTCCCAGCTTGTGCCAACACTCCCTCCCGCCCCCGGTACCGCATTGCGGAGCTGCCCGCTAACACCGAACCGGCCCGGGCGGGGGAGATGGGGGCACATCCCAGCCCGACCGGGGCTCGACTTGTTTTGAGGGCAATAATTGGAGCTCCACGGGGATCTCAGCTGTGCCTGTGCTATGGGAGCGCTGCCGGTGGGTCTCCCCATCCTCATCCTCGCTGTGTAGCGGCAGCGGATGGACAATTAGTTGTCGTGGCTTTTAAAATGGTGTAAATCGAGATGTTTTCGGTCACAGGATTGGAGTGTGGGGCTGACCTCCCCCGCAGTGGCGGCTTTGCTCGCAGAGGGGATTAGCCCGACTCTCCACACCCGTGGGCAGGGTTTGGTGAGTTTGGATCAAGCCAGGGGAACACCCAGCCGTTTATTTCGTTTATTTCTCCCCCTTTGTTTGTTTGCAAGGGGATTTTTTTTCTCCCTCTTCCACAAGAACAAAAACCTCGGGGTGCATCTGCAAACTCTCGTCCCTGGAGTCTGAGCACTAGGAGGGAAAGCAAAACTGCGGGGAGAGGGTGCAAGAAGCCCCTCCACCCGCAGCTGTAAGACGACCTCTTCCCAAAAAACATGTGTCCTACGTCTTGTAAACAGCGGAATGCCACCGGAAATCCTTAGCTGCCTCCCCTTAGCCCAAAAACGTGTTGTAGCCCCGACAAGGGGAGAATGAACCTCTCTCTGCCCCTGCCCTGCTCCTCCAAGCCCCCCATGAATCAGGCCAGCCTCATCATCTATGTTTTCTCTTTATTGTTCGATATATTTATGTACCACATTATATGTTAAAGATAGATTTTTTTTCTGATATACATTTTTCATCTTATTTACCACAATGACACCACACGTACATTGGAAACAGCTCCACGGATCTGGTAGATTGCACAGAATGAATTGTGTCGTAGTTTTGTTCCTGCAATCCTGAACGACATCAAATCCAACCATATATTATAATTATTATTTTTTTTTTAGCTTTTCATAATTTAGAAATAACAATTGTTAAAACGAAACGAAACATAAGTCACCGAGAAGTAGACTCCAGGGCTGCGATTTCAACCAGAGGCAGCACATTTGTGTTCAATGGGAAGCGCCGTTCCTCGGTGTGGATTCGGATGGAAGAATCGAGCAGTCCTGACATCTATGACACTACGGTGTAAACATTGCAGGTAAGCGGCATCACCGGTCGTCAGACGCTGCTTGGGCTTGTTGGGCTGGTCGTACAATCTGGGTCTCATCTACATCCATCTCTCAAAGTGTTCAAACAAAGGTCCCTGCTCCCGGTGCCCACGGTGGGTTTGCTTCCGTCTGTGAGCGCAGCGACCCAATCCCATGGGATCGGCACCTGTGTTTCAATTCTGAAACACTGAATTGCATATCTGTGAGGAGTGTTGAAAACTGCCACTGTTTCCCAACAGGCCATTTGTGGGGGGACAAGCTTCAGGCAACGAGTGAGGAGATAGGGGTGGGGCACCAGATAATTTCCTTTCAAAAAATCTAAATAACAAAAAAATAGATTTAAATCTGAGCTTATTTGAAAAGACATCAGGGCGAGCACTTTCATCTCTTATTTTCCTTAGTTTGCAGATTCTATGACATAGAATTTGTTGGATGCACGTAACGAAAATAATGACTCTTTCCATTAAAGGGATGCAGAATTATTTGGCTATGCGGATGTTCGATGCGATTCTCTTCCTGCACCCGACTCTGGCCCCTCCTTAGTCTTCAGCATTGGTTCTGAAAGCCTCTATGAGGCCTTCTAAAGAGTGGATGAACCCAGAGACGCTGCAGATACCACCTATAACGAAAATGGCAACATCAAAGAAGACATGATGCCACAAGAGCTTCCTCCACAAGAGTTTGAGGTGGAAGAGACTGGGGAGCAGGAAACAGAGCCCTGCGCCTGTGAGGCTCCCAGTAAGACCCATCAAGAGGGCAAAATGGGGGACATAAATAGCCATGAGCAGGGTGAAAACTACCAGGGCACATCTGAGGGTGAGTCCCCAGGATTTGAGCCGCCCATCACCCCCATAGCAGTTGGGGAAGAAAGCCCTGTTTCCATCTTGGAAAAGGGACCTCTCCAGGACTTCTACAGCTGCAAAGAACGGCAAGGGGTATGAGAGCAAGGCTTTGGCCACCAAGAAAATGTTGACTACTGCCCTAATGGTGGATGGCAAGTTGTCTGTAATGACCTCCTTGGTCTCATCAGCCCAGGTCAGGTAGGCGACCAAGGCAAAGAGTCCCTTAAGGATGCAAGCTGCTATGTGAGTCCAGTTCATCATGCAATGAAACTCCTTGGGGTTCTGCATGTTCCCCTCCAAGGAAGGCAGAAAGATCTGGGAGGTGTAGCTGAAGACAATGATGCCAATGGAGATGGGAAACTTCTTGACATCAATGTAAAACTTGACTTTGTCCCAGGCCCAGTCGCGCGCCCTGGAGAGGCAGTAGGCGATCACCAGGATGTTGATGACAAAGTGGGCTAATGTGCAGAGCAAGCTGAACTTGGAGACTGCCTTGAGGTTCTTCAAGAACGCACAAGGCAGGAGCACTGCCGTGGCAATGATGGACCACGACTTCTGGGAGACGGGCAGGTTGGGGAAGCTGTTGTACATCAGGTTCCCACTGACCACCACATAGAGGATGCAGGTCATGACCAGTTCAATGATCTGAGCCACGTTCACAATTCTGCCCCCGAGGGTGGGGAAGCGGGGCGCGCAGCACGCGTTCGCGATGTCCACGTAGGAGTCTCTCACCCTGACTATCTCCCCATCCTCATTCTCTTCGTAAAGACAGGCAATAAGGATTTTCCCAGTGTAGCAGCAAACCACTGCAGCGAAAATTATTAAAAAGAGTCCTAGGTATCCACCATGAAGGATGGCATAGGGCAGGCCCAGAACAAACATTCCCTAGAAAGAGACAAAATAGAAACCGTGTTGCTGGATCTCTGAGGGGCCAGGCCAGCGGCCGGGCACACAGCAGCTGCACCACGGCGGTCACGTGTGTGCTCCCTGTGTGCCCACGCACCATCACACCCATGCAGGCAGTCACACAGTCACGCCACGCAGTCGCGGTGACGCACCCCCTGTCCCTGTGACGTGCCACCCCCACAGTCACACCCCGCAGTCACGCCCGCGCCATCGCACCCCCGAGCACCCACAACGGGCGAGCAAGGGTTTGGTGCTTTGCCCCAGTCTCTACCCTGTCTGTCCCCAGCTCCTCTCAGTGCACCGAGATCTCCATAGCTGGGGACATCCGGAGGGACCAGACTGGGCTCACTCCAGTGCAGCCCCATCACCAGCCCAGTCACCCCCTGTCCCTCCTTGCCCATGACCCTTGCTGGGGCAGCCTGATGGGGTCTGAAGCTGCAGCACGACAGGGCTGGGGCCTGGGCCCCTCCCTGTTGCTGTGCCGTTTTCAGGAGTGGAAGGGGGGCAAAGCAGAAAGCTGGGTTGGGGGCTTTAGTTCCTTTTTTTTTTTTTAATCTGTTTTTCCTCTCCTTTCCTTTATTCCTCCTTGTTATTCTCCTCTATCTTTCACCTATTTTTATTTATTTTTTCCTCCATTTTATTCCCTTTCCCTGCTTTTCCCGAAGCTGGTTTACAATCAGCCCACGGCTGCTGCCCGAGACACAGAGCACGTAACAGGACCAGGATCAGGGAGCGCTGCCCGGTGCCCCGCGGCGGCGGCGGCCGTACCTGGATGGCGTTGGTGACGTTCCATCCCGCCTCCCATGCCGTGATCTTGGGCTTGCCCTGCCCGGAGAGCTCGGAGCAGGCCTCCTTGGAGGCGGAGGGCGGCAGGGGCCCTGTGCCGTCCCGCTGATAGTGGATGTCCCCCTCCAGGGGCGGCTCGCCGCCCTCCTCGCTGCCCTCGGACTTGAGGATGTCCATCTGCAGCCCTTGCCGATGCTCCATGTCCAGGTCGTCGCAGTGGGCGAAACCCACCGCCTCCTCGTCGGTGGCCGCCTGGAAGCCCATCCTGGCGAACATGCCGCTCATCTTCGCCTGGGATTTGTGCGACACCGTGGTGGCCACGTTGGACAGCTTGCTGCGGAGGAGGGTGGCCATGGCGGCGGCTCTGGTGACTCCGCTGCTCGCGGACCCTCGGGGATGCAGAGACCCGACGGGGCGGGCGGGCGGCGGGGCGCTGGACGGGACTTGTTCTCCCGACGAGGGGCGGCTGCGGGGAGCTGCTCCGAGCCGCTACCTCCTCGTCCCGGCGCAGTGCGGGCGGCTCCCGGCCGGGATGCCCAGGGGCATGACACCGCTGCGGGGGGAGCGGGCCCGCACGCCCCGCCGCCCGCTCCGCGCTGCTCCGCGCCGCTCCGCCGAGCCCCGCGGCAGGATCGGGGGCGAGTCGGGCGGGATGGGGCTGTCAGCAGCCGGCGGATGTCACCAGACGGGCAGAGCAAGCCCCTGGCAGAGCGCGCCGCGTCTCCATCGCAGTGCGCCCACCTCGCGGAGAGAAGAGGAGAGGGGAGAGAATTGCTGCATTTCTGGGGGAGGTACCAGCCTCCCCGGCCAAGCCCAGCCCCCCGCACTCCCCCCCCGCCCCACCCACGCCC